AAGTGAAATGGCTGACAAGCATCCAGCTTTGGAAACAGGAGACTTTCCCTGAGAAATAGCCGCAAGAAAATAATCTGAGGAGCAGCACTCACCCAGAGGTGTGCGATGCATCCTTTGGCCAACGGCTAAGGAATTTCTGCCAGCAGGATGCCCATGCACCACTGCTTGATGATGTCTTCTAGAGTCCCCTTTCATGCCATAATCCCATGAATTTCTGGAGAATCTTGCTTCTAAGCCACACCAAAAACATTCACAAAAGCACCATAAAGCATCAAGTGCTGCTGCCTGGGGCTTACAAGGTGGAAATACCCGACACCCCCAGATTTTAAGGCTTTCATTCTAATTTGTTATTGTACAAATAACCAGCACCACCTCTACAAACACCTCCCCCTCAACACCACTTCAAAGACTGCTGACACCAAACAGGTCAAGCCTGCATTCATCACTGAAACAGGAGCCAACACACACCTCAGGTAGACACTAAGAAAAGCTTCCACAAGTTGGCTCTGGCTAACACATCCTGACATTTTTAGGGGATTCCCTCTATCACTGGCTTCTTTGCAGAGTTTGCCAGCTGCTATTTGGCACCTGGTTCACAGTCAGAGATGAAGTCCATTCCTAGTAAGGGGATAATGGCTTTTCTCCACTCACAACCTGCACTGCATCCAACTCAGTGACCCAGAGGTGAAAGGCTCCGAATCTGACTATGGACATTCAAGAAACACGTTTTAAACTTCTCATTTCCACAACTTAAAGGATCAGTTTCACAAGCCACTGGTCGATTTTAACAGCTGTTAAAGCCCTGCAGTTTAATGTGATTCATTAACTCACTAAAACCTGATGTCATATTAATTCATTTACTTTATACATTACCGGGCAGTAGGGCAGAAAGGAACCTTATAAGGTCCTTCCATTTTAGAGGTCTTAAAATGGCTTCTAATTATTAGAAATGAAGATCCCATCTTCTAAAAAAAATAAAATAAACTGAAGGAGAACATGGGATAAGAAGAGCCAAAAAATGTAACTACATTTTTGTTCTTAAAAGTATCTAGTCTCACTAGTGAAGTTTTCATTTATTCTCAATAAAGTGCTTTGAAGTCACTGGATAAAGAGCATTAAATATAAAGTAATGTACAGATACATACACACACACACACACACACACACACACACACACACGATAAAGAAAAACAGTCATTTATAGTCTGCCATCATTTATCACAGCAAACAAGTTAACTACCATTATTTAGGAGGCCCTGGAATTAGCAGCAATGAGCATTAGAGATTAGGAGTCATAGCAAAGATATTCTGTGCTGACAGCTGGCCTTACTGTACCTAGGTTTTGAGTACAAATACAGTGGATGAGCTTGTGATCCTTGGGTAAATGGAATGGTTAGTGAAGGCATCACTTCAAATTTTGTTAAATTCAAGGAAAAAATAAGATCCAAGAGTGCAGGAAAAAAAGGGATTTTTTTTTTGCTTCACTCAAAGTGGTTGCGTTTTTTGGGGGGCCCTATAAAACATAAGAGACATTAGGTAAGAGGACAGTCACCAAAAAATCACGAGGCTCTAATTCTCCTCTTTGGAACGCGTACGCTTCTTCCCCCTCCAATATTACAAAATAGCAAGAAATACAAATGGGGTTAAAAGAACAAACAAAACCACCTCTGCCTTGGAAACACTACAAGAAAAATATATGTACATAAGCTACATCAGGACACATTTCGATGAGAAAGGTGCAGCCCTCAAATATGCCACTTCAGAGGGAGGTGACTATTGCCCTGACGCACCAGGACTCTGCTGCTGAGACACAAGCCAGGGACAAACAGTCCTATCTAGCATATCCCCCATTCTTACTTTGAGACAGAGGCACTTTTGACACCCCCAGCAGCTGCACAGCTCCTCTGGACTCAACCCCAGCTCCAGCAATACCCTGTGCAAAGTGCTCCTTATCAACATGGAGGCAAACATTCCACCTGAATACGCTGGCACCGGACTTAAACAATACAGAAGGTTTTTTTCTTTTTGATGCCAACTCCCTCGAGTCCATGGAGCCCACACATTCTGGCCAGCGTGTTGAAAACTGCCACAGCAACAGGGCAGTCACAAAGCAGACATCAAATACAACCCAGTAGCAAGTGTTTAAGATATTACTTCCCTTATTTTTGAGCCAGGAACACAAAAGATGCAGCCATCCTGCTGAAAATAAATCTCATATTGTCCCCATTAAACATGCACAACCATTTTGTTGAGGACAAGGCAACACTTTTGAGAAAATGCATGCTACTATTTTAAAACAAAGATAAAGCAGCCCCCATGCTGCAGAAGTCCAGGACAGTGGTGGTGACTATAAGTGGTTTCAAGAAGCCTGACAGTAGGTTGAATTAAACTATCAGTTGCAGCAGTCCTGGCTATATGAGGAGGGCCATGAGGAAAAGTGCTTCTCAATGTGTTGCCTTTTGGTCTGGTTTTCTAATGACTGGCAAAAAGTGGAGACGGACATTCAGATAAGAACAAGGGAAATGACAGGCAACAGGAGAGAAAAATAAAGGAATATGTGCTCAAAACCAAACAGATGAATTAAGCTTTCCAGCATCCCTTTATGAACTGAAGGATGTGGCACGACCATACCCACTCACATGCCTGTTTGAATGATATAGGGAGCTCTAAAGACATTAACTCTACCAACACGTCAGGTACTGACACATATTGGACAGCGAACCCGAAAAAGCAGGAGATAACATGGAAGAGATGCCAGAATTTTTATAAAGGGCTATGAGAAAGTACATTTATCAAGGTCACATTGTAGAAGGCAGCTCTGTAGGAACCACTGTAAATCGAACAGAGGCTTGGGCAAGTTTGAAGCCAACTGCAACAACTGTGGCTTGTTAAAAGCTCAGCACCAGCCAAGCTTTGCGATATTTAAGCTTCAAGGAACAAGAATGTAGAACATCTCTGGAAGATGGTGCTGCAGAGACTGACTGCCGAGAGACAAAGAGCCCTTAGCAACAGGATTTCTCCAACACAAAAGAAGTCTGACAGGCCATGGACAGGGAGTCTGCGCCATTAACTGATGCTGGGGCACTGAAAGTTTAACACGCTGCCTCCGCTCTGGTATGCGAATCCTTTTCAGGCGGCTGGGCTGTGGTGCTTAACCACTACTGCACATATAAGATTTGTTCTTGCCAAGCAGTCACAAGGCAGAACTGTCAGGCTCCATTCTATTCATGCCTGACAAAGCTGGAAGCCGAAAACCTCTCCTTCATCAAAAACTACTGCTTCTCATTGAAGGAATGAGACAGCAACTACACACACACCCCAAAAAAAAAAACACCACCTCATGGATTTTCAAAGCTGCGTCAGAGCCTTATCCGAGAGGTCAAGCTGCTGCAGTAAGCCAGCATTTCCTCAGTGCCGGACATTGCAGGGCAGGGCCTCGCAAGGAGTTATCCACAACACAAAGCAAATATCAACCTACAAAAATCATTCCTTGCCCAGTAATTTCAGAGATCTGGGTTTGACTTGCCTGGGTGAGGAAGAAAAGCTCCCAAAGTGTTACAGCTTTGGTGGTTTGGGGAATTCATAAGTAGACAGGTTTGGTGGTTACTTTTAGTGGACCAACTGTACAGTTGGGAGAGATGTTAGACAAACTTTTGGGGATAAAGTGCCCTCTCTCAGGTCTGGGAAAGAAGTAGGTAGAAGTCTAGTAAATTAAATACCAGACAAAACAATGGCTTACATTTAGGTCCACATGCTAGGGTCTTCCCCTTTCTGCCTGCATTTGTTCTCTGCCCTCACACCATCTTCCATGCTCTCTGTCCAACTGCCCTCTGTGCTGATCTCTTCCTACCTTTCCCTGCTCCCCAACATCTGTCCTTTCCTGTGTTGAATGTTCTGGTGCTCGGCACTGGTTACCAATAAAACATCCTAGAAATTCCACTTCTAAACATGCCCTGTGCCTGGGCTGCCATGATCAGATCTCTTATTCTCCCACTGCCTAAAATGCAACCACCAGACAGGAGCAGCATGGGTCTCAAGTGACCACATAGTGTTAAGGACCTCAAGTTGTCATCGTGGCCAGCTGAGTTGACCTGGAAAACTCATACAACTGTCAGGTTCAGTGCATTCCCACCTATCCTCTCATCACAGGTTTTCTACAAGGGACACCTGTGCTAAACACTAGTCAAGTTTTATAACTGGCATCACATCTCTATGGTAACAAAAGGTGTGATCCCACGGGTAACTCTCATCATTCAAACTTCTACTCCATGACTGCCATACTGAGTAGTTTGCAGCTCCTCTTTTAGTGTTTTAAATACTAGGTGGAGGATTCCTTGCTGCCAAGACTGAAGACAGCCTTTGAAAACTTTGCAACACGCTAATTTTAAGTTATCATTTAGATCCAAGTAGAGTTCTATCCCTAAAAGGCAGAAGGGTCATCTACAGGTGAATTTAACATAGAGTGGTATCACAAATTAAAATTCCAGACTCCAAAGTCACTGACTTTCCAACAAAACCAGAGTTTGGATGGCATTTCAACAGCTCTACTAAGAATGCTTTGAGAACTACAATTCTTCAGTTAGCAAACAATCACATTCCTATTCCTTGATTTCTGATAGGGGCTTTATCAGAAATTTGACAACATGAATCCTCCCTCCCCCCAATCAGGTGAACGCAGGAAATTAAAGTTTGTGATGCACATTGCTGGCTTTGAGTCCAGGTTAGAGCAGGAAGGGGCTACGCAAAATGTTTCTAGCCAGCTCTGCTCAGAACATCAGTGTTGAGCTACAAGCCTCCTACTCTAGTTTCCATCTAGAGCAGAGGCTGCCAAATTAGGTGGTAGGTTTCCAATGCAAAAAAAGTGGTTGACCAGGAATTAAAACTGAAACCCACAAGACAGATGAACTCTACTCTCCAGAATGGTATATTCATTCATTGTGCCTCCCGGCTCCTTTAGCTCCCCACCCCACACAATCCAAGCAGACAGGGAGGCGAATTACCTTTTTAACATTTTCCTCCTCCTCCTGGCGTTTCTCATAGTGTGAGAAGTCATCGAAGATGGAGGTGGTGTGCTTGTAGGTGGCAATGATTTTCAACACCTGCTTAGCCTTTTCCAGAGGCACCTCCTGAGTGTCCCTGGAGTTGGTCACTGGCTTATTCTCGTTGTTCTCTAGGCGGATGTGCCGGAGTTGGCTGTTAGGAACGTCCTTCACAAATATCCACCTGACATCAAAGCGTCCCTTCCATTTGTCCTGGGACCACACGCCTGCACATGTGTTGTAGTCCACAGCAGATTTCATTTCTGCTACGCCGCAGAAGTGACCACTGCCATTGACACTGAACAGTAAGTAAACAGGGCCTTTCCCATTCATGGAGCGATAAGCAGCATCCAGTCTCTTGTTGCCATGCTCTGTACTGCACCAGATATTATATTTAATGGAACGGTGGATATCGTCCTCAGAGTAACTCTTAATGATGAAAACCCGGCCATGTTTTGGGTTCCAGTCAAAATCCTTGGGGTTGTAGTTGTTGATGGATCTCAACTTCTCCAAGACTGGGTGTGGTTCCGAAGGAGCAGAACCAGAACTTGTTTGAGACTGCCCCACTCCGTTACCATCCACTCCATTTTGACCAAAGCCATTGCCACGATTACGAGGTGCAACCCAACGGGTGGGCTGAGCTGCCTGCTGCTGCACCGGCAGCTGAGCCGACTGTGGCGGTGGTGGGGGCAATGGCTGTGGTTGTTGCCCTGGTGGAGCCTGGGCCACTGGTGGGCTATTACTGATCTGCTGACCCACTGGTTGAGGGGACACCTGGGTTGGCTGTTGACCAATATTCTGAACTAAAGCCTGGGAAGGAGCTTTTGCCACCGGCCCTTTGTTATCCCAAGTTCCAATATCCATGTTATGCTTTATTGGGGGCGGTGGAAGACTTGAACCTGCAATACCATTCTTGGTCTTCAGCTTGGGCTGTTGTTTTGCAGGTTTGCTAGCAATATCAGCCCAGGAAGTTGGTTTTGGAGGAGCGATAGTGGCTGGAGGCAAGCTGTTAGACGCCACAATATTACTGGTAATGGACCCACTACCAACAGCGGACCCGACAACTTTTGGGACATTGCTTGCAACATCTGTACTGCCCAACTTCAATGCTGCCATGCCTTGGTCTATGGTATTCATGCCAGGAGCCTTATTCAGAGTCTCATTGGCAAAAGCAGACTGCCCATCAATCATGGCTCCACCCAGCGAGCTAGGTGCATAAGCGTAATTGCTGCTATATCCAGAGCTTTGAGTGGACTGTCCCTGAGAACTGTTATTCCCCCATGCTGAAAAGTCAATCCCACTTGGAAAGAAGTTAAAGCCATGCTGTCCGAGGAATGGAGTGCTGCCAAGGGCCCCTGGCTGTCCAAACATGGCATCTGGGAGAAAGTGAGGCTCCCCATTGCTCAGCTGTCCATAAGATGTTAGGTAGGGCATAGGTGGGTCACCCCCTGTAGACCAGGTAGCTTCACCTAATGAGTAGGAGAATCCAATGGATGGACTGTAGTAGCTTGGTAAGTAGGAGTCAGACATTGCAGTGTATGCATTATTCTGCAAAACAAAAACAAGCACTGAACAGTTAGAACAGATCTTCGGCAGCCCTGGAATCAAAAGCCACTTTTCCCACGCCCCATCCCCCAACTTCAGAGCTGCTTCAACAAATTCAAAGCAGTCGGTTAGCAAGAACCATGGCTTTTAAATGCACCTTTTGCCAAATATACCAAAATAATTTTTGTACCAGAACAAATTAAACAATTGAAATGAAAAGATTCATCAGAATTTTCTCTTTCGCTTTTAACATCCTAGGAACTAAGTAGTCAGGGTGTCACCCATTCCAAGCTGAAGGAGCATTAAGCTTCCAGACCCCTTTGTGGAACTGCGAAATGATTGCAAAATACTCTGGGGCAGGTTCTATGTTTTATATAGAGTAATGAAGTCTTCATCAAGTACCACTCTGCCAAACTTTTTGAATACATGAAGGGCATTTTGTTGTTGTTTTTGGGTGTGAGAGGAAGGGAAGAAGGACGAAAGAAAGAATAGGATGTGCACAGAGTCAGCCCAATAGAGAAAGCACTATGAGCAGTTTCATTCAGCTGCCCCTTCTCCCCCGCCATCCTGATTAACTTCTCTAAGCTGATTATCCATGGAAACTCCCCCAAAGATGTAATATGAGAGAGCTCCAAATATTCCAAGAATTTGATTTACATTTCAAGTGTGTTCTAAAACTGCTTTGCCTCTCTAACTATACATTGACAACACATTCAAATAATACACAATGCAAATCTTTGCTATTGTGGCCTTTCTGGCATGGCTATGAGGACTACAAAAGAAAGCAGACTTCATGTAGAGAAGGAAAAAAAAAAAAAATCTGCTAACACTTTTGCTCTGCCCTTTTACACCCAAACAGTCTCTAGATTATGAAAGTAACTTACTAAGTCTTACAATTAAGAAACTTTAATGGATATCACTCCGACTTGCTCACATGGAGAACATCTGTGACTTCATAGTTAAACCATGGCCCCCCAGGGAGTTGTTAAAGCCACGCTAATGGATTCTATCATCCAGTAATTTGAACCTGCATGCACACAGGTCTAGTGCTCTATGACAGCTTACGTGACAATCCACTGCAGACCAGATAAGCCAGCTCAGGCTGAACCCCCTTCTTAAAACTTGGCTCACATTAGATATCACTCACTCATTTTCATTCAATCGTGTTCTCTCACATGCCAAGGGCAGCTCCCAAAGGATTCCATGCCGTACTAGACCCTCGGCAAGGTCTCAAGGGAAAAGTGCTGCCTCTTCCACTCTAAGTGTAAGTAACAGTTTATACCTGGCCCCAAATTTACCAAAATTAAAGATATATATATTTTTTTAAGTTTAAAGGTTCCAAGGAGGCAAGGTTGGTTTTATTGTTTACAATATTCTCCTGCAGCAACCAAAACCCAAGTAAACAATGTATCCTGGTGCTAATGCATGAAAACTAGGAACAAATGTTACTGATCTTTCACATTCTTCTCAGCTGGGAAAGAGAAAAACAAGCAAGCAATGATCACCTTTAATTGGAGAATGCTGGTGTATTGTATAATCCAAGGACCTCCATCCTGCTAACCATAACCAAATAAACAGTCTTTAAGGCTCAATCAAGTGAAAGTCTCACTTGCATAAGCAGTCCCATTGACTCAAGAATATGATTTATGTTCCCCCCACCCCACCCTTTATGATTTTTAGTGAATACTGGTCTCCTCAAAGGAGATTCTCTTCAGGTTTTGTTGGTGGTTTGTTTGTTTGTTTTAAAACAGAGGTAATTTAAAATGCACAGCTGGCAGCTAGCCTTATATAAATATAAACTTGAGACCACATTTAAAACTTAGATTAGTCAAAGTGTCTTGATTAAATCTGTTCCTTGACACATCTCTCCCCTACAGCGCAAAGAAGTGACAGTTGGATCAAATCAGGCTGCTCATCAAGCCAATATATCTGTTTTGGCTTTCCCTTTTTTGACTTTTAGCTGGGAGCTGGATTACAGAATATACTGGTGTACTATCTACATAATACCCACTGAAATCAGCAGAATCAATATAGAAACATACAAATTAGGGTTGAAATGCTTGATTAAAAATGCATTTAAGGCAGGCCTTTATATGTTCATTGACTGAAGTTATACCAATATGTGCATCAAGTCCAATACTTAGATGCAGCAAACTCTCAAGTGACAATGTCACAGATTTGTAACTAAAGAAGCCTCCACCAGCATTTAACTCCCCTAATGACTAAGTTGGTTGTAGCCATGTTGGTCTAAGGACATAGGCCGACAAGGTTCTTTGAATAAATCTGATATTTTTCATTAGATCAACTAAAATAGTCGGAAAAATTCTTCTTTGCAAGCTTTCGGGTACAAACACCCTTCTTCTGGCAGAGGGAGCACCTACACTTTTTAAAAAGCCTATTGCCTCAACTTCACTGTTCTTGTGCATCTCTGTCCCTAGGGATCACTATTCTCTACTGTAGTTTTGCCTCCGTAAGACTAAATAACCATAGACCTAAGCTCTGAACACCAGGCAACTTTGATTCAACAGGCTGATAAACTGGGTGAATTAAAGACTGTGCATCTGTGCCATTGGGTTACCTGGTATTCTCCATACACAAGTTGGAATGAAGTTTCAAAAGGCTCCCATCACCCTTTTGAGTTTTGACCATGTTTAGTAAAGTTATTTCTTGAACAGTCTGTACAGTTCATGTTTTGCTAAGATACTTTCATTCCGATACTCTTTTCCTACCAGCCTGTTCCATTTGTGCAGAAGGGCCACAGTCAACGTAGTGACTAGGTGTTGGTTTCTCTCATTCTATTAACTGAACAGGTAAAATATAGATGGGAACAGGTGTCAAACTACACAAAGTGAGAAACGAAAGCAAGTCATCCCAGTGGGTTTTAGCTTCATTGAGACTTAACCAGAAGTTTTGTCTCATTTGTCACTGCTGTTGACTATTTAAAAAGGAATGCCATATACTAATCTTGTTGGTTTTAAAGGCATTACCACCCCCTAAACATTTTCATTTTCCTACTTAAAGATGTATTATTCCCCTGTTTCTTAGAGCTATACTCACGTAATGCAAGGAAGAGGAGTGAAAATTACTAAGACTTCACAAACACACCAAATGAACTGAAAAAGAAAGATACTGAACTTTTGGTTACAGTAAGACTACTCTGTTTAATAGATGAATAATTGCACAAAGAAGTTGATAGCAACTCTTTAAGTGGTTAAATGTGCCTCAAAAAAAAAAAAAATCACTGGTGGTAGTTTTTATAAAAAGTAAAAGGTGCCATCAAGTAAGGGAAATAGGTACATTTGTCCAGCATTCGGAGACTAAATGAAAACAAATAAAGACCTGCTCAGATTAGAGGGATTTGAAGTTCAACTTGTACTCTTCTGGAAAACTAGATATACTAAATGATTTTAATGTGTAGCATCCTGAAGACTGCAAGATGATCGACCAAAAAAAACCCAGGAGTGGAAGAAGGATCATGCTCTCTCAAACAAAGATGGAAGCCTGCTGAAGAATTCTTCTGGTAGCAGCCAATAAATTATGGCTCATCATCATTAGATAAGGCATCCAAATAAAGCAGCATCATTGGCAAGAATGACTATTTAAGATGCTCAATTTCTACGCCCAATAATATTCCAGCTACTCTTTGAGAAGGAAAAGACATATAGGATAAGATAATTACTAGGCTGAATACACAGACCTACTGTAACTCAACTTATGGTGCCTCAAACCTACCTTATCCTGTATAACTTTTCCTGTCTTCATACTCATTAACAACCATATTTTTAACCGCCAAAATGCAGAAAAGTAGTAAAATCCCTGGAATGGCACCTTCAGATACAACTGCAGGCTTTACAGCTTTACAGTTCATCTTTAAAGTTTAAAAAAAAAAATACAAACCACACACCCACTGATTATCAAATCCATCTGTTCTGGGTTTTCTTGGTGGAAAACTAGAGCAAAGATCTATTTCAAGCATTTCCAGCATGCTTGATAAGGAGATAAGAACTCTGATAATATCCTCAATGGCAGACAAGCCTCTAGAACATTACCACATTTTACTAAGAAATTTCACAATGAGATACAACACACTCACTCACCATCTTGTAAGAAATGAACCAAAAATGTGCAAGGGAAGTGACAAGTCATGAACAAAGCAAAGATCAGAACCAACTGTCTCAAGTTTTCCCTCTCTCTTTTCTAATTGTCACTGAAAATTTGGGTGTGGTGGGGAGGGGGAAGGGGGAAGGGGAATTTTCAGTGTTAATTACTACTTAAATGCAAGAGCTACTTACAAAATCAGACTTTGCAACCAAAAACTAAACTGAAGCCAAGGGCCAGTGTGCTTTCTGTTCAGAACACTGTCTCTATACTGAGAAAACAAGATGTTACTTTAACAGCTAAAAAAAAAAAAAAAACAGACACAAAAAAGCTGGTAAATATCAAAATCCAATCAGCTGTGGAACTAGGCATACAGGAGACCAAAAAACCCAACCAAACAAACACATTCATATTACCTAGTGGCAGGAAGCCAACATGATTGTTGGCAAACTCTGCCCCTTAATAGGCAAATTCTTTCTTACTCACCGGCCTGGCCTGAGGACTCAAGTAGGGCTCGAAGTCATCGTCATTTAACCCATCCTTCTGATGCACAGACCCGTTTTGCACTACGAACAAAGTTCAGAGTGTGAAGAGAGACCCTATGCAGCCCTCACCATCTTCACTTAAAGCGTTTTCAAGTGGAGCACTGCCTCATTAAAAATAAGTCCCCCTTGCACAGGCTTCACACCGCAGCACCAAATTGGGTGAGGGAAGGTGGCTGAATTAGCCCCTTCCAGAGAAGACCCCTGCTCCCAGAAGGGAAAGAGAGAGGAGCATCCAGCACCCTGGCAGCACGCGTGTGCCCCACAGCATTGCTAAATGTACAATAATCATCATACGCATATAATCACTTCAACCCTTGTGCAACATCCCATCAATAATGGAAAGTGTCCAAAACAGGCAATAATTTTTGAGGCAGCTCATTGATGCAACACTAAGTGGCTCTCAGACTCGAGTATCTTGGTTGTAGCCGTATTGGCTTAAAGGAAAAAGCAATCAGGACTTGTGGTAGAGGCGATTTCTTTCATTAGACCAACCAGATGCTTGCAAACAAGAACTAGGTGCCATGAAATAATTTTTTTTGCACAAATCTAGTTGGTCTAATAAGAGAGATCACCTCTACCATGAGGCCCGTGTGCAAACAAGAATTAGATGCCATCAAAGAATTTTTTTTTTTTTGCACAAGGTCTACTTGGTCTAATAAGAGAGAGAAGACTTGTGGTAGAGGTCCTCTCTTTTTATTACAGCAACTAGAAGTTTGCAAAAAAAAAGTTTTGATGGCATCTAATTTTTGTTTGTAAACAGGACTCATGGTAGAGGTCATCTGAAAAAGAGAATTAGATGCCAAAAACATTTTTATTTGACTCGCTCAAACAGCTGCGAGATTTTCCAAGCGGTTGAGCTGGCAAAATAAAAGATAGCAGGTTTGCCTGAAGAACCTCGTGTGTCTTTATTTTGAGGCAGGCGGCAAGCCTGAATATCTGAGAAACCATTCAGGACTCATGGTAGAGGTGATCCCTCATATTAGATCAACTCGATTTGTCCCAAAAAAAGGTCTTTGATTTTGCAAACAACCTTTACCATGAGTCCAGCGTGCAAACAAGAATTAGATGCAATTGTTTTTGCACAAATCCAGCGGGCCCGCTACAAGAGGTCGCCTCTCCCAGGAGTCCTGAATGCGCTCTCGGAGAGACCCTGAGTTGTGGCTCACCACCCACATCAACATGCAGACGCATGAGGTCCTTTGGGTTAACCCCGCTCTCTTCGGTGACGCCGAGTCAAACTGCTCGGAGAAATCTCCCAGCTGTTTGAGCGGGTTGGATAAAGAAAAAAAAAAAAAAGAAGAGGGAGAGGGAGAGCATGGTCGTGGCGCTGACCCCACGGACCCTGGCACGGAGGCGGCTGCGACCTCCACCCCCGGGACCGAGCAGCGGACAGGTGGCATGAGGCATGTACTAGGGGCAGACAAGTGGGTCACTCGGGGG